ACAGAGAGGTGTGTGTGTGTGGGGAGGGGGGGGGAGATCAGGGGCCCAGCAGGGAATCAGTCACACAAGAGGGTGGTTTTATTGGCCACAGATGAAAAGGGCCATCGGACATTATATCAGTGGAGTCTGTACACGTGTCAAGCAAAAGAAACCTCGGCAGTTCCCAGAGCTCCACTCACAGAACAGACACAAGGGAGGGTCTGGGTACGTTAGTCAGGGTATCGCGTCACTAGGTTTCTCCAAGTCAGACAAGACGTGGCAGACAAGAGCTTCAGTGATGTTGGCTTCCCCCATACGCTCCATCATGACCAAGAGGCAGAGTTTGAATAGAATTTATGCAGAAGGTTGCGGCTCTATGATCACATTGAAACCTCCAGCACAGCCCCACGCCGCCCCCAGGCCCGCCGAGCTGAACTCTACTGAGAACCTGGCCAGAAGAAACTCGCCATAAGGTCTATGCCTATAACTGGACACACAAGGAGGCTACGAGGTTCTCACCCTTCCTTGCCCACTGGTATCGCATTTGACCTATGAATTCTGACTCTGCAATGGAGACCTCAAAGGTTACACTGAGAGATGGAAACAGCAGGTGAAACAAGCCAATGAGATGGAATCAAAATGTTCTCAAATCTGCTGCTCGTGGAGTGAATCGTTATGGGCCGAAAGTCCCAGAGCTGCCCTCTTGCCCGGTGACCGAACACTTGCCTGGAACCTTCCAGCGGCCACGTCTACACGACATACTGTGGTCAATGCAAGATACGTCGGCGCACAGCTGCCTACATTTGTAGATGGCTCCGGCGTACCCATGCCAGCACTGTGCGTACTCACCAGGAGTGTCTGTGTCAGTGTGACATGCGGTGCACCATGGGCAGCCATTGCAGGGTGTCACTTGCCACCACCCAGTGCAATGGGGCAGTAATGACTCACCTAAGGCTCTCTGGGAGCTACGCTCAAGTTCCTAGCATGCAACTTTCTCCATCCCATAATGCAATCTATTTCCCATCATTTTTAAAAAATCCCACCAACCCACAGGGTGCTTTTCAGTCCCTGCCAGCTGCGACAGAAGCATGGAGCCTGCAGAGCTCTGCACTTTCCCCAGGAACGTTGCAAACACAGGCCGCACGACTCTCCTGGATTTGCAGACTCGGATTTCTTCAA